TCCTGCCTGAGGGTACACAACTAGAAAATCTTGAAAAACCAAAGTCCAAATTCGAATATATTGCTCCGAAGCTATCGAAAATCAACTTCGACGATATTATACGAGATAAAGAAAAAATTCAATGAACTATCACCGATCAAAGACGAAGAAAGAACCTATCAACCAGTCATCTTCGATATTGCGATTATTTTCATTTGTCTAATAATTGCAATATACCTAGTGTTCAGAAAATACCCACAACTCAAGAAGTACTTTCCATGTTTAAAGAAGAAGAAGAACAGCATGTTCCAGTCCAGAAGAGGACCCCGAAAATAACTCCGTTATTTTCTTGTCAATAACTGGGGAGGAGTTATATGTATAAATAAGTGTTATTTCATTGTAATTAAATACTGAATGCCTATTTTACATTATGTCACATATAAAAGCGAACTGCACGGTTCGAAGCAGACTTTTCACTCTCTGTACTTTGTCGAGAACGTTTGTAACAATAAAATCGTTTTTTAAAAACAACTCTGTTAATTCAGACCTCAAAACTATTGTGGTAGAATGAACCTATCTAATCACGAAAGTGGCAAAAAAAAAGTCGTAACACGTAAGGTTTTTTTGTTACATTAATAAAACATCATTCAATATTACAATATTCAATATATTAAGATAGCTATTCAAAACATGATTTAAGAACTTCTTAAGCCTATATACCGATTATATTTTATAGTTTACACTCCTCAAACATTACTTATACCTAAAAAGTACAAAAACAATCGAAACGAGATCAAAAACAAACAAAAACTTTTACTTTTCCTTTTATGAGGGACCGCGTCTTCTCTCTCTTCAAAACCAACAGTAATCACCCATCATGGCTGGATCCCATCGTCCTTGATAACGAATTTCCATTGTCCTTATGTCTTGATGGAATCTCTCACCTTGCTCATCACTGGACAGCACCCATATTTTCAGGGAAAAATGACAAATGAGGAATGGAGAAAGTGAAGATTTTAAAGACATTCGGGCACCAAACGATTTATAAGCATCTAAAAAGCTCATTAACCAATTGTTCGTCGTTCGCATCCTTATTGTTTCCAAAAAATCCCTCACTACACTAACAAAATGAGGTCCATGCTCTGAGGTTCCTGCCTGGTAAGCGTGTCTGTGAAATTTGTGTCGTCCAACAATTTCCTGATTTGTGGTCCAATAAAAATACCACCTCTTTCAATTTGGCATCACTCAACTGGGGAAAGACTTGCCTTAGGTATTTAAATCCATCACCTTCTTTATTCATAGCTTTCACGAAGTTTTCCATGAGGCCAAGTTTGATATGAAGAGGAGGCAGGAGGACGTCTTTGGGGTCTACAAGAGGGATATACTTGACATTTTGGGAACCCGGTTGAAATTCACTTCTTTCTGGCCAAATTTTCTGTACAAAATGATGATTTACTGCACGACTGTCCCACAAACAAAGAAAACAGCAATATTTTGTAAATCCTCCCTGAAGTCCCACTAAAATTCCTATAACTTTCAAGTCCCCACATATCTGCCATTTATACCTGTTGTAGTTGATTCTATCTAAAAGCATGCGCATATTTTCATAAGTTTCCCATTGTCACTGAATGGGCAACTGGTATAGAGGGTTTTAAATTTCCGTTATGCAATAACTTACAGCTTTTAGGCTATATTTCGACGAATCTATGAATAAGCGCCACTCACAGGGAGAATGTTCTATAGAAAGTTTCCTGCATTAAGCCATCGATATCAGTACATGCACACAACGAAAGATCCTCCATACTGTAGAATGCAGAGAGAACAGAGCATTTCTTTTCTAAAAGTGGTGATATTTGTTTCATTGGCTAACAGATTCCATTCCATAAGCCGGGATCAAGTAGAAGTTCTGACTGCTGCTTTGATAACCCCAAGTCACGCACTAAGTCATTCAACTCGCTTTGAACAATCAAATGTGGCTTGTCCGGAACCGCCCTCTGGGGTAAAGGTAGGATCAGTACACTGGTCTCCAGAGCTGTTTGATTCAATATCTTCCTTATCTTCCAAAACAATACCTTGCCAGTCTAAGGGCGCGATCGGCACTGGGAGATTCTGCACCATGAAGAACAGGTCGTATGGCCAGACGGCAAATTGGGATACTCGATCTTGTGCTTTTGTTTTTTTGAAAAAAACCTTCAGCCTTTCGTCAGGCAAAAATAGCAATCGTCAAAATGGTAAGTTGGTTCTCGCCATACCATTGGAACCGCAAATGGCATTTTTCCTCTTCCCTTTCATCCACTGCACAAGCGACACGCTACAAGTAACGCAGCACACATGCAGGAGCCCACTGCTTGTCTTGATCTCCAACCAAAACTCCAAAATACTTGAAGTAGGCTTTCTCTCACATTTTCAGAAAATGGTCTGGCTTGTGATTGCACCATAAATTCTCCACAAATGTAACAAAATCGATCAGGAGACACTTTACAACTGCGGCGCGTTTGACTTGACATTTTCGTACTATTTATCTACACGCTAGAACAACTCACGTCGAAAAATCAACTGAAAACTGAACTCTCTTATGTTTTTCACAATATATTATAGTGCACAAAATGCGTCCCTTTCAATCATCCCATCATAAAATTACCTTACCTGTATGTAAAGCGAATCTACCTAGACTTAATACCTGACATCTATAAAATTGACTACCTGCAAAAAAGAGGCGTAATTAGGCAACTGAAAAGTGGTACGTGTAGGAGCTTCAGGAGTATTTTTTCTGTTATTAGAAGCATATTTTTATGAAGAAATTCTGCAACTGACTCGTGTTACAAAAATCATGTCGGCCTGTGTAATGGGTGTAAGATAACTATATTAACTGTGTACTAATAATTTGGTTGTACTAATAACTAAATAGTTAAATTTTAAATTTGTACCTAAATATTCCCTAAAACTATTGTATTGAACAATTTTTTGACAAGTCCCCAAACAAAAGCGATAATTAACTTTATCGTTGTTTCACTCTGTATAACATAATTTAATACCAACCGATAATAATGAAACTAACAATTGGGAAAAAACCCTAGAAATACTGATGCATGTCAACATTTTTCCCAATGAGGTTATAAGGGAGGAGGCGACATAAGCTATCGAGAAATGTACCCAGTTACGCCATATTGGTACTGGCAATTCTGACAGTTCAGTTTTTGAGGTTAAGTGCGTTGCTGCGAGTGTTTTTTTAATTTTCCAAGACTATTTTTGTGTTTTTATTTGAATATTTGGACTTTCCGAACATGTCTTTGTGTGCTGCCTTAAGTGGTTGCATTGCAGTCGACAACGTGTGGAGAGGAAGAAATCCACTGAAATTGCATTTCACAGGTAAGTGTAAACATACAGGACCTGATTAAATTATTTTCGTATTTTCCATTTAACTAGTTATGCGTTTGGCTTATTAAATATTAAGTGTTTCTATATTGACAAAGTGTTTAGTTATTTAATAGTTTGTTAGAGGCAAATTAAGTAATTAAAACATGCCTCGACTCTATTCTTGTAAAAAATTCTTAACAATATCTGTTATTTTACTTTCATATACTTTTTTGACAGGAAAGAGTATTTTGCTAGGCCAAATTTGGAAAAGTTTTGTTTTAACTACGGTTTATTTTTCTATTTTACACTAAGATTTTGTACTTAAACATTTATTTACATTCCTTTTAGCATCTGCTAGCATATACTATGTACAAACTTTATTTAGTATTGCTTTAATTTTTAGATAAATATTATAAAATCAACAAAGTAAATTTACTTTTTGCAGATAAAGTCTTAACGACTTATATTTATTGATAAACATTTATTATTTTAATAAAATTTTATATCAGAACATTTTAAATTTAGTACGTAGTATATAAATTTTGCTCTCTTTAGAAAATTTTTATCAAATAAATAATCATTTCCTAAGATTTCTAAATTTTAATGACTATCAAAATGTTAATTATGGTAAATCAGTAATCATGTTTAATTATTTTCCGCTTTTTTTCTAATTTTTTTTTAAAATGTTAAGGTTATTATTGTTAGATACATCAATAAAAACAAGGCAATTAGTTTAAGACATACTAGCAACAAAACAATGTTATTTAGTGAGCAATAAAATTTAATTTATTTTAATGTGTATTATTTTTTGTGTTTCCTCCTTAAATATACATAGTATATAGTCATTAAAATTAATCTTGTAATTTATATTTTTGAAAAAATTGTAGGTTTTGTAGTTATTTTGATTAATTAATTTTTTATTTAAAAAAGTTGAGGTCGTTATATTGTGTAAAATAAAATTTTTCAAAGAAGTTTCTGTAATCCGGCCCTGCTAATGCCGCCATATTGGTGCTGGCTTAAGCCACGCCTAGTATTACCATTTTTCGCAAGCACTTTAAATGCTCATAGCGTCTCCCTGTATATAACCTCATTGGATTTTTCCGCTTAAAATTGACAATTCCACTATCAAAATTATTAGATTAGAATTTTGACTTATATGTCGCGTTGACTTAAAGAAACGCCCCCTTGAGTTTATTCACGCACTAAATTCATGAAATAATATCGATCCCTACATTTAGTTTTATTTTTTTTTGAATATAACACAAAACATTTTTGTAATTGTGACGGAATAGGTACAGGGTGGGCAACAAAGAATGGACGCCGGCTGTATCTCAGAAACTATTTATCGTATAACTTTGGGAAGAAAATTCTAATAAGCAAATCGAACAAGAGAAATCGCTGGAAATTATTTTCAAGTCCAAAAAATGCCCGCTAGGAGGCGTTTCTGTGATAGTGAATGTTATCTTTGTGCCATAGTGTAACGTAGAACGTGTATATTATTTAAAAAACAAATGAATATTTGTTAATTTTCTAATGATTAGCAGGGCCTCTAGTGTTTGTTCGCACAGTATAGCTTTTACGTCCAGTCATTGCCATTACAGAAAATGTTCTAAAGGGGGATGTTTTGTGTATGGAAGATATTTTGGTATAATTTCTATACTTACCCATAAAACAGACGATTTTCGGTATGAATCCACTCCTAATCATTTTACTTCGTAACTTATTGTCGAAAGACAAATTGAACAACAGCTTCAACGTAAGATGGACCAAATCGGCGCTCTTTGAATCCAACAATTTACTCAAACTGTCGACGATATTGTACGTGGACATAACCTCTTTGTTGCATTGCATAATGGACAGTTTTTTTAGAAAGGTCGTGACCAGTATCAGCATATCGTTGTTGTCCCGTTCTAAAGCTTTGATCAGTAGGCCTACGATGTTTCTTTTTGACATTTTCTCCTCCACCGACTCATCCTCGGCGATATTTAACAGCAGATAGTAGGCCACTCTGAGAAGGTGCTCTTGTTTTCTAAGCAATGTACGGAAACGTTTGGTCTAAAATAGGCAAAACAGTTCAATAAAATCTTAGATCGTTTGTATCAGCGAGTTTAACTGTCAAAATAGGTCATTTAACGGTAAAAAAAGATTGAGACGCATACTTCAGAGCTTTGAATAAAAAACTTAAGGAGTATAATGCTATCCATGTCTTCATGAATGGTAGATGGAGATGGGGATCCTTGACAGTTCTGTTTGATGATTCATTTGACATATTTGAATTTGATTTGAAGTTTTGTGGATTTGTTAGTATTTACTGAGCTTATTTATTCTACAACTGGTAGTTGTTTAGAAGTAGTAAATCTGGAAGGATTTTTTTTTTGTGGCAGAATTTAAATTAACATTGACACTCTTGCGATTTGGCGAAAAAGACTGTAAAATAGTAGTGATGGGTTGCTATTTAACTATCTGTTATTTTATAACAATTATTTATAAATAACATAACGCAACCGTTACTACTTTTAAAAAATAACGCCTACTGGTCCGGTTTGAAATTTTGATGCAAAATCCGGCAATACTGCATAGAAGAAATATGTCGACCCAATTTTTATCTCATTTTAATACATTTCATTTTCTATTCAGCTCTCGATATCACTGAAAACGTTAAAACCAGACCGCACAGTTTCTATGACCAAATATAGGTATATTTTTATGACAAATTTAAAACTACCAACATTTATTGACAACATAAAATAAAATAACAAATTACTGAGTCTATCCTACATCATATTTTTACACGTTTTGAATAAAATTAGAACGGCACTGATAAACCAGAATTTGAGTCGGCAAATATTGGTCCCCATCACGTTCGACCTTAAGCTGTACGCACACTGGTGCGATCACGGCCGCGGCCAAAAGTTGCTGAAGAATACATATGTGCTGTTTCACATTGGCGCGATCAAGTTTTGGAGAGGAAGCGGCTTGAAGGCGTTCTATTCTGCGGTGGCGATCAGATTCAACTTGTCGAGTTTGCTCGCATGATCGCGACCCAACTGATAGGAATTTCCCGTTATTTTGTGTGTTTTTTTTTTGTTGCACTTTAGAAATGGAGTTAACAGAGCAGCTAATTAAGGCTGTAAAAATACACAAAATTCTATATGATTTATCCGATCTAAGTTACAAAAATAATAGAATTAAAAATAAAAAGTTTGAGACAAAATTGGAGTTGCAATTGGATTGGATAGTACATATGAATACATTTTTATTGTTTAAGTTTAAATATTGTAGGTAAATATTTAAGAATGTTTTTTTCGGTATACATAATTCATATTTTTAATTTGTACCTATGTATACCTACAGGATGGCGCACTACATATAGGTACGGCGGTGAACGTGAACGCGAACGCGTTGGTGTGTGCTAAAATGATCGCTCATGTTATCGCTGCCCTGATCGTGATCGTGATTGCGGCCGTGATCGCACCAGTGTGCGTGTAGCTTTAGGTTTTCAATCAAAGCCCTGCATATGTTCCAGGGGAATATTTACCTTTTGTTCTGGCGTGAGCTTCTTATCGTCCAAACTCTCCATGGAAGTGGTGAGATCGTCGTAGATGCTGCCGTCCATCGCCGATTTGATGTTCGCATCGGAAAAATTGCCGGACCGAGGCCTCACGGGCTCGGGAATGCGACTGCGCGGAATCTCGGTCATGCTGGCGCTGTTGGGGCACGTTTTTTTCACGATGGGGGCGTCGGTGGGTGCTTCGCCCCCGTCCAGGCTCGCCTTCCATTTGTCGTACCTTCTCAATTCGAAATCGATAATGTCCATACAAATCGATCCAACCTATGACACATCATAAATCATAATAGAGTATTTAAAAGTTAAAAGATCGTATTTTTAATCTCGATTTTTTCAAATGGAACGGGATGGCTAATAAAACTTTATAGAGCAAATGATTGTAACAGATATTCTATTTAGATTAAAGCTGCAAAAATTAGTTTAAACCGAATTTTATTATCGCTATGTTGGTCACATTGCGCCGTGTTCAGCAATGTTGTCCTTTATTATTTGACAATTACCCTAGTGTCAGTCAATATTTTGTATAATATCGTGTTGTTGTTGAATCATTGTGAGTAATTCTCGTTTTTTTGCTTATTTTCATAGTCTTTTTTAAAAATTACACTTTTAAGCACCAACAATTACTACTACCTTAGAATTTTGATGATCTGTCAGTGAGCGAATGTCGAAATTAAAGAAACTTGACAAGCGATAATTCATAAACTATGAGGTATAATAATTATTACTAGATATTGTGGTAACTTAGCCAGCTATAATAATATTAATATTCTTGCTTTATCCACAACGAAGTTACAGGGTGGTCAAAAGTGCCGCTAATACTTTATACCAAATGGTAATTAGATATTTAAATAATACTCTTTTAATTAATTACATTGTTTTTGTGTTGTTAGTCAAAATATAATTAGTCAATAATTCTTCTCCTTACCTTGCATTTGAGAATAATGTCATGGAACTTGGAATACACAGAAAAGCAAAAAAAAGTAAAAACCAAGTGAGTGCTTAAAGTTATACTTCTCTTCCAGTCCTCCCTCAAAACACGGCCTAAAGCACTTATCAGAGTTTCTAGAAACAGTTTTCATGAAGAAACAGAAGATATAGTATAAAATTTTACCATTTTTCGATAACGCATCCAAATTTTCCGGATCCCTGGCAAGGTACTGGATAAAATGAGCGCCTCGAATTTTTTCAGGCATCCCCTCATAGAGAAGATCGATGTATTCAAGTAAATTGTTGTAATTCGCTTCAGCGTACGACGCCTTTTCGCCATTTTTGTCACCATCACCTATAATTTATTATATCAGCATAAATAAATTTGTTTAAGAAAAAAAAAGAATGATGGAAAATGTCCAAACATAATATAACGAAAAAAAAACGGTGTCAAAATGGGCAAAGGCTTATCTTTTCAAAGCCACCTTGACAAGTTTTTTTTTTCGATTATAGGGTATGATTTAAAGCAACTTTCGACACAGTAGAGTACAGTATTTGTATGAAGGATTTAAAAGAATTCATATTATATCAACAGGGTTAACAAGTAAAAAGCATCAATGATTAGTTGTTATTTCATATTAGAATTTATTAGTTCTAGCGATGTTTTTCATGTTAATTGGTAAATTTATTCTGTTTTCTAAATATTTAATAAATATTAATTGACATTTTCCAAATACGAAAATAATAGAATTTATAAATTAAAGCAGTAGTAGCCTTCATAAACAGCAGCTTCTACGCGACCGTTCTATACATGCCTATATCTCATTATAACTACTGATACAAGCAGTATTTTTCCATACTAGTAGTAGACAAAACAGGATACCTTATTTCAGAATAATGCAAAATAAATTCGTAATTCTTTTATAACAGACTATAGGCTAGGATTCTAACAGAATATTTTTTTCATATTCTCAAAAAATAAGTTCTAAAACGAGTTTACAAAAAGAAAATAAATTAAACTTATTTCTACATTAAAAATAGATACATGAAAAGTATTAACACTAAAAATAAATCAAAATTACATAACAGGGCTTTTTAAGAATAACGTTTTTCTAATAGTCTATTGTTATACATATAATTTAGGGAAAAATATGTTACTTTATTGCAATAATTTAAAGAAATTTATCAACAAATTTTACATAAATTATGAGCAGATTTTACTACAAGACTATCTAAAATACAAACATTTTTTTTAGATAACCTATGTAGTTACTATGTTATAAGATGTAAAGCTACAAAATACATAAGATAGATACACTGAACAACAAACAAAGAAGCTAACAATGAACCTTATTTATTTCAAAACACTTCACCAATCTTGTATAACCCTTTTACAATTTATAACCAGCACAATGTTAAGTAAATATACAATATCTTACACAATTTATAATATTTAAACAAACGAGAAAAACACTATTCATAAAATTATCAATGGAAGTTCCATTCGTGGGTATTTTATAAGAAGCAGTTATAATGCAGGTGTCATATTATTTAACTGAAGCAAACAAATATTACAAAAAAGCCATATATGTTATTATGACAAAATAAAACTTAGTTGAAATAGATTAGGATATTATTAATCTTTTTTTAAGCTTAGCATTAATTAAAAAACTATTTCAACTTCATTTAAATAGCATAGGTGGGCGAAAAAGACTGACCCATAATAAAATTACCTATTAATCGTCACAAATACCTGTTATAAGAATTGGTATATACGATCCCTTAATAACTTCTATTTTTGATGGTCCTAATTACAGAATAAAAATTACAGATTAGTGCAAACACTAACTAAAATAACAATGTTATTAATAAAATTCAAGTGTAGTGCAATATAACCACTAATTAGCAACTTTATTCGGTACTGAAATAACGTCCTAAAAGATAAAAGTATTTACAAAAACCAATTACTTAAAATTTAGTACAAAAACTTTAGGAAACGTATCATAAAATTAATTCTACATTTAAATTATCCTTAATTTATACTATACTAATAATAATTATTAACAGGAATAGATTTAAATAGACTTTAAACTTACCCTTTAATCCCTGTAACTTTCTTTTCTTTAAGTAATATATTATCTGTTCAACCTCAGATAATCTCGAATGATGTATTAAGTCACATTGATTTATCACTTCTCTTGAGAGAGAGTGGCAATCGGTTCGGCTGTTGATCATGGGAAGTTCAATAATCTTTTTCAAACTCTAAGAATTATAAACATACAATTTTCTAATGGCTGTGGTCATTATTTTGCTTGCTATTTACCTTTTTTTCTCCATGTAGTGGATTTTCTTTAGCACCAAGTATTTGCACATCAATATCATAACTTAAGACGATTGCATCAATATTTGGATGGACATCGATAGAACCTGGTTTTCTTTCCCTGTATAAGTAATAAATAAAAGATAAAATACCTTCAGAACTGTTCTCATGTATAAAAATTGAAGTACATACTATTATTAATACTCACATTCGCATATATTTAGCTATTTCTGGTTCCATTTTTTTAAATAATAATACACTAGGTTCCTATACTAAATTAGAGAATGCTCATATTCAACAAAATAAGATATATATAATATTATAATTTCATATTAAAAAAGTTATAGCATTGTTTCTGAAAGATGGTGACTTAATTTTTTACATATTTGACATATATCCAACTGAAGTTGGCAACAAAGAGATCAGTCATGTAGCCAGTATTTGGCAACTTATGCCATAAAATAAAAAAAGAAGAAGAGGCGGATCATATATAAATGAGTGAATCATATATTAAAATAGAGTTTACCAGTCATTGGCAATGTGTTTTTTGTGATGATGGACGATAAAAACGTATAGGAAGAAGTAGGTATTATTTTGTTCAAAAATCCAAAAAGAAGATTTCAATCACATTTTGACGTTTTACAAAGTGTCAAATGTCAAAAAGGTATTTTTGGGGTGATTTGATTGGTGGACACATTTTTACTGCTTTTTTAATTTCTAATTTTTAAGGCTGAAAAAGTTTATCGTGAGTTATTTGTATTATCGGCTTTTATCAGAGTGTTACATATTATTCTGTTCTACAGGTTGTTGTATTGTTTTATTTACTGATAAAAAACTTAGTTCAGAAAGCGGCCATTACGTTTACGTTTTTGGAAAACATCTTGTAAGTTTATCAGTAATCATAGAATGGATTAATAATTTACTAAATACGAGTCTAATGCTAAATATTAACTCATTTGTATACAGAAAATTCGGTGCTAGTTGCACAATAATTGGCAACTACACCTTACATTCCTATTGTGTAAATTGTATGTTAATTTTTAGGATTTTTCACTTAAGTTCAGTAATGTCAGAGTCTTCTTCAAACGAGGGAACACGTTCTATTGTGCCAAACAGTTCTCAGCCTAGTTCGTCTGTGTTAGTATCAAATTTACAGCCTACAGCACCAGAATACATTCCTCTAAACAGTGTTACTAATAATGGTGCAATACGTAAGACATTTCCCAGACAAAATAGGTATTTTAATAATGCAAGGACTAACAAATTTCGACCTGACGATCAGAACAAACATAAATCAATAGCCTCGAGGAACAAGGACTATTTTAATGGAAACGGTACTTCATCCAGACATCACGAAGAAAGGAATGATGGAAACGGTCATTATAAATCAAATAATTATTACGGTAGTGCTAGTGGTCCATCTAGAAAACCCGATGAAAGGAACGATAGGAAGTCACATTATAAACATAATTATTATGAAAATAATGGATATTATGAAAAGCCCAAGAGAAATAATACAAGTTATGAGGTAGAAGATAATAAAAATCATTATTATGATAGTAACAAAGAGAGATATGCTGGCAATGTTGATAGTAGAGAGAAAAATTCTTCGTACAGAAGAAGAAATTATAAGGACAGGGATAACTACAGGGTGAGCAAAAACATTTTAATAAATAGAATGTTTAATAAGCTAATTTTCTATATGTAGGAGCCGAATTTTGGGAAGAGATATAGTTTAATAAGGGGAGATTCAAAACATAAACAATTTCCTAGGAATAGGAACAATGGATTTCATGAAAATCATAATGAAAGTGATGTAAATAAAAAAGAATTGCCACTGCCAATAACAATTAGGGATAATGGTAATATTTTATACCTTTTATATTATTTTTTAATGTAACATATGTTGATTTTTAGAAAATCTAGAAGGTCAAAGGGAAAGATTAGTGGATATGATTGATAGACATGCACTGGAATGTTTAGTTTGCTGCGATAAAATAAGAAATCAACATCAAATTTGGACTTGCGAACAATGCTATCACATTGTACATTTAAGTTGTATAAGTGCGTGGGCAGAATCATCCCAGGTAAGTTTTATCTTATATACAAGGCATCAAATAATAAAGATCAACTGACACTAAATCATAGAAATGAGAATATCGGGGAAAACCTTTTGAGGTGTAGGCAACCTTAATAGTATTTTGAAGACACATAAGTTCTCTATTGCCACAACATACAAGGCTCGTTTTTACATTTTCTAAATTTTTCTAGACCGCAGAGACGAAAGGACAATGGCGTTGCCCCGCGTGCCAAAAAACATACAAAGAAATACCACAAGATTACCAGTGTTTTTGCGGCAAAATGGTCAATCCCAAATTCGATCCGAACGTAATTGCGCACGGTTGCGGCGATGTATGCCTAAAAAAAGGCAAAAATTGCGAACACAAGTGCAACATTTTGTGCCACCCTGGTCCCTGTCCCGAATGCAATGTCATGGCCCCGAAACCGTGTGGTTGCGGCAACACCGAACAGATCGTGAAATGCAGCTCGGAAACTAAATTCGTCTGCGACGGAACCTGCAATAAACCGCTGGATTGTGGCGTTCACGATTGCGAGAAGAAATGTCACGTCGATGATTGCTTACCCTGTCAAAAAGTTCTCCTACAGGAGTGTTTTTGTGGGAAAACAGGAAGAAAGGTGCGGTGCAACGCGGAGGATAGAGGAAGGTTGACTTTTACCTGTGAAAATCCATGTGGGAAATTGCTGTCTTGCTCGAATCACAAATGCAAGAAACAGTGCCATTCGGGTGCTTGCAATCCATGCGATATGGACGTGGATGCTGTTCAGTATTGCTGGTGTGGTAAAACTCCGTTGGAAGTTCAAAGGAAGTCTTGTTTGGATCCTATTCCTTGCTGTGATCAGGTATTATATAGCTCATCTCGCGTAACTTTTCCCGATATGCCGCAATTTGATTTTTAAAAATTGGAAGTTTAAACAAAATTAAATATACAGGGAAAAAAATAAGTAAAATAGTTTGTGTAAATTTATGTACTAAAATGCTTCGTTTTGGAGATACAGAATGTAGAAGTTTCATTTTTAGTTCGATTTTTTTAAAATAACTTCGGAACTAACGTCGATATTTATTTACAATAAAATTATATAAGAGTTTCTTGCCTTGAACTGCTAATATAGAAATTAATTCCACGCTGTGTTCGTCATAATGTGGATCAACCTGCTCTCACTACCGGTTTCGGGGCCCTACCCCATCATCAGGTGAGCTTGGGTATTTCCACAAAACGACGAGCACAGCGCAGAATATATAAATACGACTTATCGTAAAGGCGTAAGATATTAAGTCCCGCATCGCGAGATAGCGGCCTGCGTGCAATGGTAGTACTTTCGTACCACCGAGGCACAACTTCTCGATAAATAGAGGCTTTTTCAGCTGGCCAAAATATATAATGGAAAAATACATTTCTTTACGGTTTTAGGTATATAATAAAAATTATATAAGAGTTTCTACCTTCAACTACCTAATGCAAGTCATTACGCTGTGTTCATCATAATAATGGATCAACATGCTAAAACTGCAAGAAATGTATTGTCGTATTTATATATTCTGCGCTGTGCTCGTCGTTTTGTGGAAATACCCAAGCTCACCTGATGATGGGGTAGGGCCCCGAAACCGGTAGTGAGAGCAGGTTGATCCACATTATGACGAACACAGCGTGGAATTAATTTCTATATTAGCAGTTCAAGGCAAGAAACTCTTATATAATTTTATTGTATACCTAAAAACTGCAAGAAATTTATTTTTCCATTATATATTTATTTACATTGATACATTTATGTTCAATTTTACTTAGAATCGAAAAAGTCAATACATATCATAATGACAAACAATATCAATCGTCAAAACAGTTCCAAGACATGTAAGTGGCCTCTCCTACAACTAGGAGTCATACTTACATTAAAATCGAAATTCTCATATCAAAAAAATTCCAGACACTAATTTGCAACCAAATATCGATGTTAATTCAGAAATTGTTTGAAAAAAAAAATAAAGCTTCTACACCCTGTATCTCCAAAGCAAAACATTTTACGAACTTTAGCAGAAGGCAGAGAAATCGTATTTTGCTTCTTTCTAATATATTTTTTACTATTTTTATTGTTTTTTTAACATTTTTACGTGTTTTTTTTTCTGCAAAACGTAAGAAACAATACCCATCCGTGATTACAATATAGATTGGCTAAATGCGGAAATATTATGGGAGAAGGACTATATTATTTTCAATATACGTAGATATCAAATTTTGTAATATGTGTTTTTTTTTATAGATTTGTTATAAGTTATTAAAATGCGGACATGATTGTAAAGAGAAATGTCACGAAGGGGAATGTCCGACTTGTCCGTTAAAAAAAGTGGTTCGGTGTCGTTGCGGAAGTCTGACTAAAGAGGTCACTTGTGAGGAATTCATAAATATGTCCGACGATATGACGTGCGAAAGAAAATGTACAAAGGTAATCTTTATTAAATTTCATTTTAAGGCCCCGTCGTCTAGACATACCGTTTCACCCGCGGTTTTATGTCAGTTATAGCATTTAGTTTAGTGGAATTAAAAATATTTATATTCTTAAAATAATTAAAAAGGCTTTTATCGGTTGTTTTTCAAAAGTGGCTCACGCCTATAATTTTTTATTTTTTTCAGATAAAAAAAACAGTAATCTCCGGATTGTCTTTACAATAGGAAACATTTTTTTATTATTGACTTTTTGAGAAAAATATGTTCTTCATTCAAGTTTGCGCATACCACCTGTGACGTCATACGCCATACAAAAAAATATCCATATTGTTCAATTGCCACTAATAAAAAAAGACCTAAAATAGGGAAGAATTAGGACATAACCCCAAAAGTTACGTCAAATTATGGAGCTTGACATTTGAAAAATTGTTTTCGCGTTTATTGTGTCATCTGTTTGACAATTTGAAATTGGCGCGCGGAGCTTGCCGACCAATGGTGCCGTTTATCACCTGTGACGTAGTGACCAACCTGCGCAATATCATACGTTGTATTCTTTGTATCATGCATGCATGGTGGGCGGAAAAAGCACCATAAAAGCATTCTAGAGTGGGGATCCTTGACAGTTCTGTTTGACAATTCATTTGACACATTTGAATTTGATTTGAAATTTTGTGGATTTGTCAGTCTTTACGGAGCTTATTTTATGTTATTTATTATTTATTCTACTACTGATAGTTGTATAAAGGTAGTAAATCTAGATGGAAATTGTGGCGGAACTTAAATTAACAGTGACACTATCGCGATTTATCGAAAAAGACTCTAAAATAGTTGGTTGTGTAGCGTGCGGTAGATCTCGGCAAAAATTGAGTGAAATAATGGAACAACTTTTCGCTAGTAAGTGACTATATAATATACATACGTGTAGTAAACCGATCATATATGAAATTCACTTAAATTAACTAAATTATATATTTTTCTTGCATTTTAGCTTTTATTTATTACTTATCAAAGATTAGATGTCAAAGAATTTAGATACGTCTAATTTGACTTACCTGCTTCAGTAGCATATCGGATGTTTGTGTTAATAAATACTTATTATAACTTATCTATTTTTATTAGAATTATATATTTTTATAACAATTTTAATAACTACCAACATTTATGCACACCGTAAAATAAAACAACAAATTATTGAGTCTACCCCACGTCTACCCTACATCATAGTTTTACATTTTTTAAATAAAATTAGAACGACACTGATAAACCGGAATTTAAGTTGGCCATATTTGAGGCCCATCGCGGTGTACCTAAGATTTTTGATATGCTCCTTCCTTAGTCTTCTTATTCAAAGTTATAAAACAATAAACTTTTGATTTCTAACCAAAATTTTTCTTGACGGGTAATAATCAATGGTCAAAATGACATTCCTCGCAAATTTTGAAGTATAATTCGTGGAAAAGTCAAAAGTTTATTAACTTTTTCCACTAATTGAAAATTCCTACCACTAATTTTAACGTTACAATTACTTACATTCAAATTAGAGGAACAAACTTCTACGCTAATTGGGACTACTAATTTATTCTACTAATTGCGAGGTTCTGAGGGTGCATCCACATCATCCTAGAAAAAGCGAAATGGCGGTATGGGCGTAACGACCTTGTATCGATTTCCAGCAATTCTATTGGCTGAAATTTTTCGAAAATTCATCTGTCAAAAGCTTCACCCTGAATGAAGCTTTAGAGCGCTTTCACACACACCGGCAAAATCGGTGCCGGTGCCGGAACTGAAATCGATATTATTCATATTAATATTATATTATTATTCGTATAATCGCGATTAACCATTTTAGAACAAGCAAAATTTTTTATGAAGAATGGATTTTTCTGAAAATGTCAGAATTTTTTTCCCTTTTTTAAAGACAATCCGGGGACATACTGTATATGACATAAATCAAGAAGTGACCGAAATTAATTGAATACGTCAATGAGTCCTGATTTGTCATACACTAACATATCAAATCTCGTTTTTTTATCTGAAAAAGTAAGGAAGTTCTACCTCTGGTCTTATCCTATTTTTTCTCTGCTAGAAACGCCTGTGCGGCAAGCACAAATGCAACCAGAAGTGCTGCATCGAGATCGAGCACGTGTGCCTGTTGCCCTGCAACCGTCCGCTGACGTGCGGGTTGCATAGATGTGACATGACGTGCCATCCGGGCCGATGCCGGCCCTGCATGGAGACCAGCTTCGAGGAGTTGTTTTGCGAGTGCGGCGCGAGCGTGACGTACCCGCCCGTCGCCTGCGGCACGAAACCGCCCAAATGCGACAGGCCCTGCTTGAAAGCGAGGGATTGCGGCCATCCGGCCAATCACGAGTGTCATCCGGGGCCCTGTCAACCGTGTTTCGTGCTGACGAAAAAGTGGTGTTTCGGTAAGTTGATTTAAGTTTATCTTTATTTTTTTATTTTTATTTTTCTCTTTTTTATTTTTTTATTTATTTTCTTTTTATATTTTTTTCTCTTTTTTTGTTTCTTCATTTATTTATTTATTTTTATTTTTATTATCTTTTGTTTCTTTATTTTTTTTTGTTTTATATTTCTATTTTTAATTTTTTGGCCGGATGAGATCAAATATCTCGTGAGTAAGAGACGATTTAGACACTCGCCAAGTCGGTAGGCCATTGACAATGATATGGCTGAGGAAAGCGTTTCAGATTCGACGTAAACAAAGTAGACTTCATCCAGATTAGCCTTGGCAGCAAAAAGAAATCTTAAACTTGAAATCTTCACTTTTAATTTTTTTGTTTTCAATTTTTTATTTTCTTTATTATTTTGTTTTTTTCTGCTTTTGTTGTTTTTTGTTTCTTTTTAATTTTTATTATTTTTTTTCTCTTTATTTTTTAATTTTTTTCTTTTTTTTTCTCGCTTTTTAGGGTTCCGTACCTCAAAAAGAAAAAAAACGGAACCCTTTTAGGGTCCTTTTGTTATCTGTCAATCTGTCTGTCTGTCTGTTAAGACATTTTATCTCGGGAACGCGTGGAAATATCGAGTTGAAAAAAAAAGAAGATAAGGTGGTTTATGCTACAAAAAAACGTATATTTCGATACTCTCAAGGGAATCAAAATTTATAGAGTATTTTCCGTTGACCTAGAACTATGAAATTTAGCAAGTAATACCGTCTGATACTACAAGTGTAGGGAAAAATCTGAAAACTATACATTTATAATTAAGTCATAAAAATATAGTCTTAGTACCTACTACTAGGTAAATGAATTTGTAGATATAGTTAGACATTTTTTGAAACTTTAGTTTCGGAGATATAAAACTAATCGGACCTTTTAAAAAAACTAATTTTTATTAAGAAACTATTTGAGACACGGTTTACCAAAAATGTTTTTTTATACCTACTACTGGCTAAATGAATTTGTAGATATAGTTTGACTTTTTTTGAAACTTTAGTTTCGGAGATATATGTATAAAATTAATCGGACCTTTTAAGTACGTAAATCATCGACATTTTTTATAGTGTTTTCAGCAATGATGTTAACTTTTTAGGTAAGCACGAAGAACGGGGAGCTATCCCTTGCCACCAGGACTCCTTCAGCTGCGGCCTGCCCTGCGGCAAGCCCATGCCCTGTCAACGTCACAAATGCGTCAAGCCCTGTCACGAGGACGAATGTCCGCTGCCTTGTACCCAACCCTGTACGGTGCCGCGTACGTTGTGCGGCCATCCCTGTAACAAACCCTGTCACGGTGCTCCCTGTCCGGAGAGCAGTTGTAGGCAGACGGTTCCCGTCACGTGCCAGTGCGGATTGCTGAAAAGCAGCAAAATTTGCGTGGATTTGGTAGACGAGTACAGGAACATCGAGACTGCGCAGATCAAGGAGAAACTAGATAGGGGCGGTGATATTTCCGAAATTATAAGGCCTAGAGTGTCGGTGCTGAAAGTGTAAGTAGCTCTATGTTTACTTGTTTCGTTAAAGTTAAAAAAATTAGACGATGTGTCTCGTCAATAAAAGTTTGACAAATTGGCAAGTAGCCATTGTAATGAGCGGAGTGTTTTTCGCGGTAACATACTCGTCAAGTCCACGTGGATTCTCTGCCGCGTGTATATGTTACGGTTAAAGTCTGATGTCGGGTTAATGTCGACATTAACACCTTAGGGTTAGGTTATGTTTTTGGTTGTTTTGTTGTGTGTTATTCTCGAGATTAACTGTAACATATATATTGGGTGCGTCCCAAAAGTGGCTCACCCCTATAACTCTTTTATTTTTCAGATAAAGAAACAGATTTGGCATGTTAGTTAGACATAAATTAGGATTAATTCACGTATTCAATTGTTTTCGGTCACTTCCTGTTTCACCGGAAATGACTACAACTTTTGATTTTTACTTTTGAATAAGAAGGCTAAGGAAGGAGCATATCAAAAATCATCTTAAATATGGCCGACTTAAATTCCGGTTTATCAGTGCCGTTCTAATTTTATTTAAAAAATGTAAAACTATGATGTAGGGTAGACGTGGGGTAGACTCAATAATATGTTGTTTTATTTGACGTTGTGAATAAATGTTGGTAGTTATTAAAATTGTTACAAAAATATATAATTCTAATAAAAATAGATGAGTTATAATAATTATTTATTAACACAAACATCCGATACGCTACTGAAGCAGGTAAATCTGGTAAATCAAATTGACGTATCTAAATTCTTTGACATCTAATCTTTGACAAGTAGTAAATAAAAGCAAAAATGCAAGAAAAAATATATAATTAGTTAATTTAAGTGAATTTAATAACTGATCGGTTTATTACACGTATGTATATTTTATAGTCACTTACTAGCGAACAGTTGTTCCATTATTTCACTCGATTTTTGCCGAGATCTACCGCACGCTACACAACCAACTATTTTAGAGTCTTTTTCGATAAATCGCGATAGTGTCACTGTTAATTCAAGTTCTGCCACAATTTCCATCTAGATTTACTACCTTTATACAACTATCAGTAGTAGAATAAATAATAAAATAACATAAAATAAGCTCCGTAAAGACTGACAAATCCACATAATTTCAAATCAAATTCAAATGTGTCAAATCAATCGTCAAACAGAACTGTCAAGGATCCCCACCTAGAGTGCTTTTCCGCCCAAATGTGAATACATTGACCATGCATGAATACATGGATTGCATTATGATATTATATATCTTTCCTTAGTCTTCTTATTCAAAGATCAATCCTAATTTATGTCAACATACCAAATCTAGTGTTTTTATCTGAAAAAAATAAAAAAGTTATAGGGGTGAGTCACTTTTGAGACGCACCCGGTAGATAGCGATCTATAAAATATATTGCTTTTTATTTAAATATGTTTTGTAGTAAATTGATCATACTCCAATATTGTGTCTGCATAATTGAAATTTCCTTCATAGACACAGATCCAGTAGGCATGCTCTATATACAATTTTTTTCAGACTGGATTGCAACGAAGAATGCCGAATCTACGAAAGAAACCTACGCCTCGCGATCGGTCTGCAAATCCAAAACCCGGATTTGTCCCAAAAATTAACTCCCCGCTACCCCGACTTTTTGAAACAGTGGGCCAAGAAAGACCCGAAATTCTGCCAAAGGATCCACGACAAACTGACGGAATTAGTCCAATTGGCCAAGCAGAGCAAGCAAAAAAGCCGGTCGCACTCGTTCGAATCGATGAACCGCGATAAGAGACAGTTCATTCACGAGTACTGCCAGTACTTCGGGGTGGAGAGCGAGGCGTACGACCGGGAACCGAACCGAAACGTGGTGGCCACGGCCGTCAAAGACAGATCGTGGTTGCCGGGCGTGGGTCTGTTGGAGGTCGTGCAGAGGGAGAATGGGCAGAGGAAGGTGCCCGGTCCTGTGCTGGGTTATGGCGGTGCCGGTCAGTCGGAAAAAGTGTCGCTGAATGTGCTGAACCGGGTACAAAAGTGATAAACGTTCGAGAGAAACGAAAAAGTACATAAATTTAACTATAATATGTGTTCAGGAGGAAAATTAATATTTTTTATCGCTCTGAAGAGAGTGACAAAAACTATATGTTCAATAGAATTTTTTTATCCTAGGTACCGCAGAAAATTACTCAAATTATAATAACAACTATATGTTGGGACAAGGTCTTTTTTTGCAATAAAAATAGTAATTTGTTAAAACGACTCAATTTATTTTGTTTATTCTTCTAAATTCAAACATTACAATATGATCTAGACAATTTTACTATATTTTTATAACCTTGCAAACAAATCACTTTTGATAATAGCTTATTTTGCCAAAATCAAGCCAAATTTGCTGACAACTATATATTGGGAGAGCACAACAAGAAATTTGTTTAATACGGAGTTACATCACCTTTCGCCTTAACAACTGCCTGAACTCTTCATGGCATTGTATTTACCAAAGATTGGCACATTTGAGGAGAAAAATTATCCCAAATTTCCTGCAGTTTTGTCCGAAAATCAATAATTGTTCGTTGAGGATGGTTTCTTAAATATTGCTTCATTTTATGCCACACAGTTTCTATAACATTGAGGTCCGGACTACTTGCAGGATAGGATAGAACTTTTATATTATTATTACCGAACCAATTTTTAGTTGATTTTGCTGAATGGCACGATGCTCCATCTTGTTGAAAAATATAGTCTTCGTTTGGAAACAATTCTTGAACACTAGGCAAAAGTGAGGTCTCAAGTATATGTTGATATTTTTGGGCGTTAACAATGCCATCTATAAAATTTAATTTGCCCAAACCTCTTGCTGACATGCAACATCAAACCATCATCCCCTTAGGACATTCAACAACCCTCTTTAAGCAATCTTTATGAAAGGCTTCTGCTTTATTTCGTATTATTCTTTTTCGATGATCTCCAACGCAAACATCAAATTTAGACTCATCGCTAAAATATGACCTTATTCCAATCATTTTGTGTCCACGATAATTTAGATTTTGCCCAATCGTAGCGATTTTTTTTTTGAATTTCTGTCAGTAGCGGTTTTTCTTTGGCCTAAATAAGAATTTGTATCAATAATCTTCAGGTAATTGATTATCCACACAAAGTAAAGTTTACCTTGTAAAACCCCAGACCGCATTTTTGGAAATATTTTCGGCAACATTCTCTTGATATATTTAATCCAGTTACAGTATTCCATTTAACTGTTACTTCGTGAAGAGTACTTCTTCTCGCAGACTTGCAAATTTTTACTAAATTTCGTAAATCTCTCTGAGATACAACTTTTGGCCTTCCCGAACTTTTACCTTTAACGCCTACACTGGCAGATTTGCCGTATTTTATTATATTAAAGACCGTGGTTTTTGGAATACTTAAATCATCAGAAATTTTTCGAATTGTTTTTCCAGTACTGTATTGACGAATGATAATTTCGCGTAGTTTTTGATTTGTAGCTTTTCCACGGACCATTACTTTGGATTAAATTAACAAAATTTCAAAAATTAACGTTACTTACAGTAAGTCTCACTACTCAAAGTATCGAGTCATTTACAAGCTGCCAATGCTGAAGTAAACAGTTTGCGACATTTGTGACGTTTATAGCAAAGCCGCCTATGATATTAATTATTAAATACTTGTCCCAACATTTAGTTGTCAGGCAAATTTGTCCTTTTATGAACAAAATCCGCTACTGTAAATATGGATTGATTTACAAATTCATAAAAATATTGTCAAGTTGTTTAGGATATATGGCTGTTTGTATTTAAAAAAATAAACATATATTTTTCAGTCATTTTGAAAAACCAGGGCAATAATTCCAAAATATGACCTTGTCTCAACATATAGTTGTTAGGGCTCGTATGCTGACTATCTTTTTTTACTTCCTTTAGAGCGAAAAAAAAACTTCTACAGGGTAGTCCGAACTGTATCCGGAAACTTCGGCAGCATATTCTGCAGATAAAAATTAGTAAAAAAGTTTGTAGAAATGTATATCCTAGAATGCTTAGTTTCGGAGATACAGGGTGTAGAAGTTTCATTTTTATTTCGATTTTTTATACATTGATAATATTTGAATGAAGATTGGTGTCTGGCAGTTTTTTTTATATGAGAAATTTGATTTTGATATCAATATGACTCCTATTTATAGGGGGCACCACCTACATGCGTTTTAACTGTTTTGAAGAGTAATAATTTTTCGTCTGTACCCGTGTAAAACTACTGAGTGAAGAAATATACATTTCCGTGGTTTTTTACGTAAAAAATGCCTCTTGGTAAATCGTTCCGACCAACCGTTCTCCAGATATTTAGAATGGAAGTAGTCATTATTGACAAAAAATAAACATGTTGAGTAGATAGTTATTTGACTGACATGATAAATTTGGTAACTTTTTATTTCTTTAAATTAATAATACATTTTTCTTTGAAAAAATGATGATAAAACAGCTTCTGTTGAACCAAAATCATTTGAAATATATGATTTCAGTATAATAACTATTTAAAAAATGTCTATACCAATGTGGCGGATTCACCTCTCCAAAAAATCCTATATGGGTATTTATATAATATATTATATAAATATATATATTATTTTATATTTATATATTTTTTTGTTTTATTTTTATTTTTTTTCTTGCAGTGGCGAAATCTCTGTATAGGATTTTTTGGAATAACTATTTAGTCAACATGTTTAATTTATGTCAATGATCAATAATAAAATTGTATTCATAATTTCCATTCCAAATATCTCGAGAATCATTACTCGTAGCGATTTTTGACAAGAGACCCCTTTTACGTAAAAAACGTCGTAAATGTATATTTTTTTTACTCAGTAGTTTTATACAGGTACCAACGAAAAGTTATTACTCTTCATATCAGTTAAAAAAATGTAGGTGGCGCCCCCTACAAGTAGGAGTCATGTTAATATCAAAATCACATTTCTCAGGTCAAAAAGATCTCACAAACACCTATTTTCATTCAAATATTGACGTTATTTCAGAAATTATTTGGAAAAAAAACAAAATAAAAATGAAACTTCTATACCCTGTATCTCCGAAACCAAGCATTTTAGGACTACATTTATACGAATTTTTTACTTATTTTTATCTGCAGAATATGCTACCGAAGTTTCCGGAAACAGTTCGGATCACGCTGTATATTAATAACTACTTTTTATCAGAGCTATAAAAATTATCACTCTGAGGAAACTTAATAATATTTTTTACACTCTGAAGAGAGCGATAAAACCATTTTATTGTATAACGGTTCATTTTGCATAAATTTCATAGAAAATATTATTGTTTACTTGAAATTTTTCATGTAATTTGGATACAACAAAAAAAATGTTTTTTATTCTATTCAGATTGTTTAAAAAATACTTATACAACACAACATTTTTATCACTGTAAAGTATTGGTTTTGTCACTCTAATCAGAGTAAACCAAAACGTTTTGGTTTATTTCCGTAATTTTCTGTTCAGAGTGACAAAAACTATTGTGTACTATATTGTAGTTAATTTTTGGAAGAGAAAAGTACTTTAGTAATTCTGGTGTTGTTGTCAGGTATTATATTTGTTTTCCGTTTGTTAAAAGTATGAGTCATATGTTTATATTTTAAAGCTCTATTTTTTTTCATCAAAAAATAATTGTTTTAATCAGCTTTAGACGCTGTGTATAAATGTATATATATACAGTGTGGACTATTATTATTAGTTCTGGTAATTATTGGGAAAACTGGAAATCGCCCGATTTTCACCAAAATTGGTATACACACTATTTTGAGGTCGTAGATTACGAATCTGAACTTTTTTCTTGGCGGTCTCTTACCGTTTTTCAGAAAAACGGAAAATTATTTCAACATTGAATTTTTCTTTATTTTGGCCCTATAAAGTAATAATTTCACTATATTTTCATTATATTATAGTTTATCTAAAAGCCACACTTGATTAGGGATAAAAAATTGTCCAAAATTTTACTGAGAAACACTTTTCTTAACAAAATAACAAAGAAAATAGAGACCAGATGGAAGTTTGACATTTGACATATCCTTCTTTCTCTCTCCTATGTAATGAGAGAGACAAATAAATTCTAGACCTAATCTAGAAATTTGGAAATTTACAACGTTGCCATATCTTCTATTTTTTCGTGTGATTAGGGATTTTAAATAAATTACCTATTATGAGATCGACAATAATTAAATATACCTACCGCATCCACAAAGTTACGCGGGAGAGTTTTGATCGCGTTGGTTTCAACTTCTATGCGGAGGGGGTTAATCTTTTTTTTTTGTTATATTATATTTATAACCACGAAGTTGTAAGAAAGTTTTGATTGCATCATTGGTTACAACTTCCATGCGGAGGGTGTTAATCTTTTGTTGTTATATTATATAAAAAAAAGATTAACCCCCCCCCCGCAAAGAAGTTATATAAAGACTATTCGTAACCACGAAGTTGCACGAAAGAGTTTTGATTGCATTGGTTTTTACTGCTTTGCGGAGAGGGTTAATCTTTTTTTGATATAATACATATATAACAAAAGATTAACACCCTCCGCATGGAAGTTGTAACCAATGCACAAAACTCTTTTGTGCAACTTCGTGGTTATAAATAGTCAGATCTCGTTGGTAAAATAGCAATTATGGGAAGGAGCCGTTCTTCTGGCGACCGCCTTTCGTAATCCCAGTTTGAGCGAAAAAAAACACGTTAAATTTAGATGTAGCATTGGCAACGCTGCTTTAAATGCCAGAAACACAACCCAACATTTTCAGATTGTTACAAATTTATTTTAGCAAATTTTCCTCTATTATGCATAGAATTTGTTAAAAAAGTAACAGAAAATAGCAATAACATCATTGTTTATTGAATACCTAACGAAATATGTGCTAGAAAACCTTAAAAATATAAGAAATTAAGAAAAATTCAATGTTGAAATAATTTTCCGTTTTTCTGAAAAACGGTAAGATACCGCCAAGAAAAAAGATTCGTAATCTACGACCTTAAAATAGTGTGTATACCAATTTTGGTGAAAATCTGACGATCCAGTTTTCCCAATAATTACCTTAGTTCCATATAAGCACAGATAATTATTGCACATCCTATTTTTGTATAAATTTCTTACATTTAGGTTTTTAAAATCATAATTAGGTATTATTCTTTAGTTAACACCTTGCCTGACAATAAAACAGATATGAAATATAATTTTTTAGAATTATCACAAATAGTTGTTATTTTTATTTCAAATACATTAATTTCTGACATCTTATCATACAGGTGTAAGAAAAAAATATATATATTTTTTTATTCTCAATCTATTTTTTTCGGTTGGAAAAAAAAACAATCATAAATAGTTTTATTTAAAATTAAATATTGAATATTCGTTGCAATTTACACATATTAGATTACACAGAAAAAAATGATTTATTGCCGTTTGCAAAGAAACTACATAAAATATATTAAAATATATCGATCTAGATAAGCGTATTTTTCGTTTCTTCAGTTCTTAAATTAACTACAAGCTAAACATAATACTTTCTTCTATTTTGTCCTATCATATATCTTCTATTAATCTCATTTCTTCTTCACACTAAGAAATAATTCAAAGAACTCGATAATGAAACCGTAAACAAACGATTTTCTAATTTTTAACAAAATAGGGATGTATAATAATATCGACATGGCAAAAAATCGATATCGAACTTTTCGATATGTATCGATATTTTCTGAAAAAAACACATCTCTACGGAAAATAATGATTTTCGCCATATTCTGGTTTAGATTCAGCTAAAAACGTATATTGCTTGAGTCAAGTTGTTCGGTACAGTTGTGATTTCCTTTACAGGCCACCATTTTCTTTAAGAGATCTTTTAAATACGATTTTTCCGATGGTTTTAGTTGAGAAAATCTGTTACGTAACTCGAAAGGGTCTGAAAAAAAGAAAATTTTCAGTATAGTTCAATGTTAAAAAATGGATATAAAGTTTCTTCAGATGACAGTATTGCATTTTTTTTAAATTCTTACCTATCCTCAGATTATAAAAGGTGATCAATCCAGTTGTAAACTCACAATAGAGGAAATTGTGTGTGTTATTTATCGTTCTGAGGCAAGAATACGTATTGTTGTTCGCGTTCATGCAGAAACAGAAAGGCCCAGCTTCCCACTTCGGTTCCGTACGCCAATGGTCGTTATTGTGCTCGAAACAAGTCATCCTCTCTATATGGCACTCCTCCTCCTTCCTCTTCTGCTTCCTCAGCCTCCTTTTGTCCTCCCTGGTTTGCTGAGCCATCGTTTCTTCCGTTTTGTTCATGTTATACTCGTCATCGTCCTCACAGTAACAATTTTCCCGGTATTTGTGTTTTTTTGATGGGAAATGAGTGGAGTTTGAGTCCTAAAAATCGATTGCTGTATGAAATTTATACAGTGTGAGTCTTAACTGAGTGCAAATGTTTTCAGGACGCGCAGATCTCGATAAAATAAATATATTCGAAGTAACCGAGTTATTTTAGTTTGAGAATTAAAAAAAAAATTTTGTTAAATTTTGAGAACCTTTTCTGGATTTTCTTAAGAATGCCAATTATAAACTAGTGTATAGTGCTAATAATAAATTACAACAATTATTAGGTAATCCAAAGGATAAAACACCTCCACTGGAAAGGTTTGAAAAGGGTATTTATGAAATTTCTTGTAAAGATTGTAATCAGAAATATGTTGGGCAAACTAGAAGATCAATATTAACTAGATTTAAAGAACATTTAGCTCAGATAAGATATGGTAGACCGGATAAATCTTGCGTTGCCGAACATATTGTTGATAAAGAACATTGTATCTTAATAATTTAAAATTAATTAAACAAGTCTCAAATTACAGGCAATTAGATGCATATGAAAGCATCAGAATTAATAAATGTAAAGATAGTATGAACAGAGTCAACGGTCCAATTCTTTCAAGTTCTTTGTTCCTACTACTCTAGTGGGGGAAATTTAGCTGTTACGCTCGGTGGGCTCTGACTCGGTTGGCTAGATCTTGCCACGCCCACCCGGTGCCCACTGAGCGAGTATATAAACGCTCAACTTGTAGATTAGTTTTAGTTTATAATCATCTGCTGATGATGCTAACATGGTTAGCGAAACGCGCGTCCGGTGTGAGGATTTTGACATTACGTTTTTTAACTTAAAATTAGAACACCGATTTTTTTTTTAAAAATACTAAATTTTAAATTATTTTTCGCGAAAAAACCTCATAGACGTGTTTCTGGGACCGAAACAAAAATTTTTTGCACTTATTTCAGACTCACCCTGTATATCTGATATTTACTTACCTGTTGACTTAGAGATCTCTTGTAGTTATCAAACCTATTTACTCTCTCTTTATTATCAGAAGAATTGCCCTCTGTAGATGGAAGGTCATGGTGATGCCTGTGATTATGATTTTTACTAGCTTCTTGCTGGTCAAACACGTTATTCTCTTGTCCATTTTCTTTCTGCGAGTTAGGCGTTCTTTTGTGACCAGTTATCGGACTTTCCTTGTACGGTTTATTGCTAAGGGTTCTCTTAATGTTTGTATTGTACGAATCTGTTTTGTAATCGTTTGTTCTAGGCTTGGTAAATTTTAAATGCTTCTTGATTTCCTTTAAGTTTTCCAGTTTCTGTTTGAGCGAGAATATTTCGCCCTCGATTTGGTAGCGGGACTTTTGCCAAGTCCTTTTGTCCTGGTAGAGGGCGTTTGAGCAGTTTACCCGGCCTTTACTGATCGTACATTCCGGTAAAATCTTGGCAACCTCGTTGGTTTCGGTGCTTTGGCTGGTATTATCGTGCGATTTATTAAGCTCCTAAAATTTTATACATCTTGTCGTTTGTTTTTATTCGAGAAATACCAAAAATTTTACTATATCTAAAGAATGCTAGAATGGATGATTTCGGCAGACATTATCCGAAAAAAAAGGCGCGAGTGGATGATAATTTTAGCGAGGTTACTCCCTAGACTGCCAGTTGGTCCTAAGGTGTAGTTTAAAATTGGAGATAAAATAATTTTTTTGGAAATGTGTCTGGAAACCTTCTATCCTTTTTTAATCTTTGTATAATTTGGGTTAATGTAAGTTTTACGTCAATTTTTAGGGCTCTAACCAGGTCGCAACGACCTGTCCGTCGGTTGGCCGGATGTATTGCGTTTATAGCTGCGGCCAGATGAACGACCAGTTTCAACAGAGTTGTCAGATCGAACGTTTTTTTACGTTTTACCAATTAGAAAATATTGTTTCAGAAAGAATTAAGTTTCAGAAATGTTAAAATATCCGAGTTAACTAAAAAGCGAAGTTGGTGTTCATGAGCTTATGTTCTAATATTAAATAATGCATTTAAAATATTCTTGGATTTTTCGTTAATAAATACTGGTGTGGTAAATGGAATAAGTAGAATCTCCAACCCCGACTACACGATAACGTCGTTATTTCCATGTTTTTCAAATCCGCGATGCCTGCTATTCCATCAGTCGTTTCATAACAGAATATTCTACATCCTACGTCTATGTAATTTAATATGTGTAGAGTGAGACATGTAACTCGTGAGATTTTCAGCATTATATCAATAAAGGACAAAAACAGTATTGTTCCTAAAGGTGCGTCCAGACTTGAGCATTTTAGCCCGAACGAACCGAGCGCGCACGAACAAGCAGAACAAATAGGCCGAACAAAAAGCATTGTGTACGTGCGACCGACAAAAAGGGAGATATTCTGTTTCTTTTTTCTACTTATATGGACTTCTACTGATGGCTCTTATCGACTTTAGAAGTAAACATATTAGGGCCATCGTAAAAAAAGGTCGTCAGACATTGGCTCTAAATATAAGCAGGTAGAAAGTTTAGCTTCCAGTTATTTCAATGTTTACAATATAAATTCCTCTTTTTTATTGTTACTGAGAATCTACAACAGTAAATACTTCTATTTTTATGAATGTTTAAGTTACTTTTACTCTTAATTTTTTTTAAAATAATGTACCTAGTAGAAATATAGTCTAATGGACCCTGTTTGAAAAACGTTAAATTAAATATAATATTTAAAATACTCCTTGTGCATGACTACAATACAACTAAAAAAAAATAATTTAATAAAAAACAAGTGGTTGTAGAAAAACTTTAAATATATGATTTTTTTATTTTTTAACATCGAAACTCGAAGGTATAATAACAGGTATCATACCAACCATAAAATTAAGAATTGTGTGAAGAATCGAATTTGGTGAAGAATCGACCCTTGATAAAAAAAGGGACTAGATTTAAGTTTCCCTTTGATCCAGTCTGTATACTAGTTCTTTGGATTTTCTGCACGTGTGCAAAAACTACACTAAAACACTATATCTTATAGAAAATAAAATATTGTGCGTTGAATTTGAGGGATTTCATCTGAAAAATTATTAATTTGGAAGAAAACCGGCAACAAGCGGCAGAAAATTATAATATTTTGGTGCAGTCTACAGGTCGCAACGACCAACGGACGGCCAGGACGTTAGTGTGCGCGGTATCATTTGTTTTAATGGTTTTAGAGGTGTCAGTGTGTTCGAACCCTTAGTAAATGAGGTTGAGAGATTGACCTCGCCAAAATTATCATCGATTGTTATTCTCCAGCCGTCTCTGACGCTTTTTTTTTCGATCAGACGGTATTTTTAATAAAAAAAACTCGTTTATATTTTCTTCCCTATGAAATTCGATTTTCGTGACCTATGCTATTTCTCAAAAAAGAAAAATCACTAAATAACTGAATTACCGTTAAATCCTGAATTCTATTTGAAAATTCTCCCACGCTGTTCGAGACATTTAAGTACGAATTTCTCTTGCCTCGATTCAAGCGAATTCGAGTTTTTCTCTTTAATTTTTTTAACAGAACACGATCGGCTAATTGATACTGTTTTGTTCTTTTAAACGGCCGATGATTCAATCCATTTCTGGATCGATGATCGATTTCCTAAAATATTAATCAGCAGTTATTGCAACACTTTTTAAATTTAAAACATCATTAGTATAAGTTGAACCAACTAATTGTATCGGAATTACATTTTTGGAGCAAAATGTAGGTTTGTTTGTACTAGCACAGATACTAGAAATATTTTTAGAACACTTTTTAATATCAATTCACAGGTAAATTGTATTATACTCAGAGATATAGAGGTAAGGAGAATGAGCTTCGAAAAATGCGCATCCAAAAATTTTCTTTTGCCGTCGTGGCATAAAAACTATACAGGGTGGTCCGAACTATATTCCGGAACCTTAAGCAGCATATTCTTGAGATAAAAATAAGTAAAAAAGTTCGTATAAACACAGTTTAAAGAATATAAATATATCAGTTGACCCACTCTTCGCCCGTATCAAAATTCCTCACGCCGCTCCCCGCCTGTCTTGTAGACTTGGGTCAGTCAACATCCGTTGCTCAACGTGTACACAGCGTTCCAAGTTTATTTTAGTTTTGTTTTCGGTCCGACGCATAGGGTGAACCAAAAATAGTGTTTTAGTTGTTTTGTTCGAATTGTGAATAAAATGTCTACTAGAAATATTTGTGCAGTGGATGGTTGTGAAAGTAGAATGACAGACAATATATCGTTCTTTAGGTGCCCAAAAGATGAAGGAAGGTATGTGTTTATATAGTATAGGATATTAAGTATATAATAATTAAAGTATTAGACATATTAAGTATATTATAATTATGGAAACCTATGAAAAAATGGTTTTAAAAATATACATATATATTATGAAAAGATTTTACTCGAAATATGCACAAAATATTTATTTTTAACAATTAGTTTATTATTTTAGTAGATATTTTAGAGTAGTAGTAGATACTTTACTATTATGTTTTGGATTTTGCAGTATTTACCGGTTTGCAAAGTGCATATTAAATTATTATTTAAGATATTTGCATTTTTTTAAATAGCATGTTTTACTTTTTAGATGTTTTTATTTAACTTTAACTACCTACCTGGAAAGTCCAAATTTTATCGTCAGGTAATAAAAATACGTGCATATAACTTCTTCTGCTATTGACAAGTTTTTTAGAGTTTTTACTAAATTTTATGTAACAGTAAATATAACAATTGACGAGCACATGGGAAAAACGATGAGTATCCAGAAATGATAAATGTTCAGGAAACCGTTTTTTTTTAATTGAAATTACTCATGGACTTTTATATCAGAGTTTATATCGTTTTTCCCATTTTTAAATGCCTGTTTCTACGATATTCCCCTTTATTTAGGTACCAAAAGGTGTAGCTTTTTGGTACTTTCATTATTTTCAATACTGTAATAAATTATATTTGCATATTTCTTAAATTATAGCATGTTTTGCTCTTTAGCTGTTTGCATTTAACTTGAATCTACCTTTTTATTAAAAGGTAATAAAAAGTACTTGGATATAACTTGTCTTGCCATAGTCAATTTTTTTTTCTGTTTTTACTAAATTTTATCGAACAGAAAAAAATTATTACACAATTAACTACTAACAGTCATAATTACTGTTCATGATAATCATAAAATTTAGAAAAAATTCCAAAAAAATTGATAATGGCAACACAAGTTGTATGCAAAGGTACTTTTATTACCTTACGATAAAATTTGGGCTTTCCGGGTAGGTAATTAAAGTAAAATGCAAACATGTATAAAGCAAAACATGCTATAATTTAAGAAATATGCAAATTATTATTATAAATATTAAAAAAATTAACTTATTATATTTATTTAGTATACATTTTTCATATGGGGGTTCTATAATAATTATTAATAATAATTACCCTATTGACAATTCCATATTACAAAGAATTAGGATAGAATAATATATCTAATATTTTAATATTAATGTATATTTAATACTAAATACTAATAAATATTGATCAATTATTAAAGACGCCTAAAACTGTTAATCAATAAAACTAGTACTGTATTTTTATTTTTCTACTTGCTATATTAAAATTCCTTAGTATTTTTAGTTGATTCCTCGTATACGGCCAGCGTTCTGACTGATAAAATAGCACTTCCGCTGCACCCGGTAAACGTACAAATTTTTTTGTCACCTCGAAGGGTCACGGGCCGCCTTTGAAGTCAAAATAACAATAGAATTCCTTAGAGTGGACCAACTGATATATTTATATTCTTTAAACTGTGGTATAAATGTATGTCTTAAAATGCTTAGTTTTGGAGATACAGAGGGCGTAGAAGTTTCATTTTTATTTCGATTTTTTCCAAATAATTTCTGAAGTAATTAAAATTGGGAGTTTTTTGACATGAGAAATTTGATTTTGATGTCAATCTATGACTCCTATTTGTACCTACATGTCGTTTAACCGTTTTGAAGAGTAATAACTTTTCGTCCGTATCTGTTTAAACTCTACTGAGTGAAAAAATATACATTTCCGTTACTTTTTATGTAAAAAATGTCTCTTGGTAAAAATTGCTACGCGCAACCGTTCTCAAGATATTTACACTGGAAATAGTCAATAGGTACATGTATGTCATTATTGATAAAAAATAACTGACTCAAATAATACATTTGGGAAATTTTTAGTTTTTTAAATCAATCATAAATTTTTCTGCGAAACGATGATAAAACAGTTTCTGTTGAACAGACACCAATTTTAATCCAAATATTGACGTTACTTCAGAAATTATTTGGAAAACATAGAAATAAAAATGAAACTTCTACACCCTGTATCTCTGAAACTAAGCATTTTAGGACATACATTCATACGGACTTTTTTACTTATTTTTATCTACAAAATATGCTGCCAAAGTTTCCGGAATACAGTTCGGACCACCGTAGTATATCGGACCAACGCAAACCAACGCAACGTGGCATTCTCCCTATCTCTGGTTTATTTGGACTACATTATGAGACTATTTGCATATCTACAGGGTGTCCCCGAAAACCTACACGTGCTCCAAGAAAAAGATTCCTTGAGAGTTTCCCCCTGTAGTTGTAGGTATGTGAAATAGTGACTTATGGAAGTTTTATGTAAGTCTAAGACTATGAGAGAGATATGTACAGGGTGGGTCAAATTCGACGCTTTTAAATGGAAACACCCTTTTCTATAGGAGATAGACAAAACATGATGGTGAAAACCGCATATCGATATCTGTTACCGTTTCGGAGTTACGGGGTGTTTTTTAAAAATATGCATTTTTAACAAATCGCTGTAACTTTTTTGCTATGGAAAATTTTGTATTTTTATGAAAACATTTCCAAAGCACCTTTTTACGAAGAATTTAATGGTTTAAGTATATTTTTTTAAAATTAATAATTTAAGAATTATCAACAGAAAATTTGATTTTTTATATGGGACACCATGTATATTTTTAATTTATTGAAAATAATTTAAAATTACCTTTCCAAAAATATAACACACTTGATATTTTGCTAGATTCCTCTTTGAGGTATAGAGTATATAAAAATTCGCCCGCTTTAAATAAGTAGGCTTTGAACGGCACCGGTTGTAATGCAAAAAAAAATTAGCTGTGAGCATCAATTAAAACGAAAATAATATTTGCTATCAGAGATGCAGAATTTTATAACAATTTAAAATATATTTAACCAACATCAGCACATTTAAACATAATTTAAAAATATCTAATAACAATAAAAATAAATAGCAAAGACATGAGATTTTGCTACAGGTGTTCGACATATCGACCGTCTTCTGTTATGGACAGACGGGGCAGTTTTTGAACATTTCTCGCGGAATTCATTAACTTAGTAGGGGTGAAAGATACCCTCTCATAACTGCTAAGTATTTCTAATTCTTAGCTAGATTATACGGAAGAATAAGGAACCTTTATTCTTCCGCAAATATATCCATAGGATTAGATCCATGCGCACTAAGTCAGGCGGCCTCGACGGCCAACGGCTGGGATCTTGGTTAGCTATTCAATTATTCTTGAAATTGGCTGCAAAAATTTGCTGATAACTTCAGCTTTTAGAGGCGGTGCGTCGTCTTGCTGGAAAAATATGTTTTCGAGTTCCATTAAGGGCATATCATCAATAAGGGGTCCAAAGCCTACTAGTTAAAAGTGGCGAACTTTTAAAAATTCTGTATTTCGAAGGGGATTATAACAAAATATCAAGTGTGCTATATTTTTGGAAAGGTAATTTTAAATTCTTTTCGGTTAATTAAAAATATAGAGGGTGTCTCAAATAAAAAATCAAATTTTCTGTTGATAACTCTTAAATTATTAATTTTAAAAAAATTATACTTAAACCATTAAATTCTACGTAAAAAGGTGCTTTGGAAATGTTTTCATAGAAATACAAAATTTTCCATAGCAAAAAAGTTACAGCGATTTGTTAAAAATGCACATCTTCGAAACGGTAACAGATATTGATGTGCGGTTTTCACCATCATGTTTTTGATGAAAATTGAGTTCCAGACACCGATATTAGTTTTCGTCTATCTCCTATAGAAAAGGGTGTTTCCATTTAAAAGCGTCGAATTTGGCCCACCCTGTACATGTTTAATTGTGATTTAGTGTGATTGAATTTGAAAATTAATAAAATTATACTTATAGATGAGAGAATAGCATAGGACAGAGCTAATAAGTAGGTATAAAAAGTATGTTCTTATTATTAGTTTATTTGTTAATCTTTCAATTATATACAGGGAGTTTCATAAGTAACGTGAAATATTTTAAAAGAAAAATATTGTTTTGTTATTAAACAGACTTACCGACGATGTTCTATATACAAGTCCATTCGAAGTAAAACAAAAACATTTCTTGTCTTCTCTGTTAGTCGGCACCACGTGGTTAAGGTTTTGTTGACACCGGCGCTTTGCCAGTTTGTTCTTGTTAATATGACAATTCCGTTTCAAACCATTACGACAAAGTAATTTCGTGTCGAACAAACATTTTCCTGCTTTTTGTGGTAAATCAACGCTGTTCTTTATTCTGATATCTATAAAAAAAACATTTTTTATCACTCTGAACTAGGGATGTGCGATATTTTCAATAATATCGATGCTCTTCTAGTTTCAAGATTCATTTTCAATTTTTTTATAAACTTACCTCCTTCATTTGATTCTGTAGTGCTGGTAGTGATATTCATATCGATTTCACCATTAAAATCGTCAATTTTCGACGAATTAATTGAGTTAGTGCCATTCTCAAAGTTTTCCGTATTGTTGCTCCCATTAGAAAATTCATTAATTTGTCCAGCTTTGTACATATTTGATACGTTAAATTTTGGAGCTATTTGTTCCAACGGTAGAGAATATTGTAAAAGACTGGATTGTTGTTGTTTGTTGTCGAGATAAGGCGTTTCTCTACGACCTGAACTGAAATAAGAGAAAAAAAAACATTTAAAACCTATTAGGGCTGGGCCATAATTCCAATAATATCGATATTTTCGATACAGACTAATAACACTGATTAAACACATAAAAAAATCAGGTATCGAATATAAAAATGTCAATGCCAAACCAAACACTCACCTCTCTATTAAAAACGTGTCTGGCCATTTAATTTTCTTCTTTTTCTTTGGCGTGAGGAACAAAGGCATGATGGAATGGCCGTCCATGTGAACAGGCGGTTCTACGCCGGCCATGTCCAAAAACGTAGGAGCTAGGTCTATGTTTAGTACTATTTCGTTCAACGTGGAACCAGGAGTAATACCGGGACCTCGAATTAGAAATGGTACCCGAACATCGAACTCAAACGGAAAGCTTTTACCCTAAAAAACTCACGGATTAACAAATTTTGAATCTTAAAACTGATAGTTAGGTAGAACTCAAGAAAGGGGGACACAATAGAGATGAGCAAAACTGCGATTCTCCAATCGCAATTGAAACTACGATTTTTATATTTAAAAATTGTATTAGGGATACCGGGTGTTGCATCGTCGAGCGGGACATAGGAAATCCCATGTAAATTTTTATGGGGTCAATTATTGGCTTCCCTAATTATTTTAGAGAATAATTCTATTTAGGTTTATTGAAGAGCACTATATATATAGAAATTCATTAGATGTTTTTGATTAGCCCGTTTACGAGTTATCGTCGATTTCTTTTTAAATATTTCTCCTTTCTTATGGTCCTGTATTTACTTATGAGCACCAGTCAAGGTAAAAGATAACTGTCAAATGAAGTTGTCATTTCAGAAATTTATCTATTTAATGCTTTATTATTATTATTATTAAAAAATCATACCTACATCGAAAATATTAGCCATGAATTACACTACCGAAGAAAAAGTATTGATGATTAAATGGTATTATCAAGGAAATAGTTATCAAAAGGTGTCGGACATGTTTGCTGCTCTGTATCCGAATAGACTGATACCTGGAAAATCTACAATCGCAAGGAATATCCAGAGATTTGAGACCAAAGGTACCCTAATAAATAACTGCAGATGTGAAGCAAGGCAGGAACAAAGAGAAGATGTAAGAAATGATATCGACTTGGAAGTTTTATTGTGCGTGAAAGAGAACGATGGAAAGATCAGCACAAGGAAACTTGAGGATGAAATAGGAATAGATCACACTACAGCGTTTCGAATTTTGAAACGACATAAATACTATTCCTTCAAATATGAAAAGCACCAAGAGCTACGAGATGGGGACGAAATACGGCGGCAGGCGTTTTGTTTTGATATGATGGAAAGAGCAAACACGGCTGGGAATGTTTAAAAAACATATGTCGTCCCAGTGCTGCCAAAAGTCACTAACTTACTTTTTATTACTTCCGAGAAAAATGCGTCTAAAGATGAATTGCATTGCATAAAAATGTTATAGTTAGTAACTATTCGGTATTAAAATAAAACATAAATAGCCAGAAATCGTAGTTAATGACATTTGCACTCGATTCTCCGATTCAAAACATAGTTAGTGATTGAATTTGGTTGTTCGGAAAAATGTTAGTTAGTGACTTTTGGCAGCAATAGGACGATGTTTCACTGACGAATGCACGTTTACCTTAAATAATGAATCCAATGTTCAAAATTATCGATATTGGAACAAAGAAAACCAACACAGGTTTGTCGAAACAAGGACGCAATATCCACAGAAAGTAAATGTTTGGGCAGGGATATTCGGACACAATATTATCGGGCCATTATTTCTTACGCGAAATTTAAATGCAGAATATTATTTGGAACTACTCGAAAATTATATTTTACCTGCTTTATATGATGCCGCTAGGGAAAATCAGGAAGTTTGGTACCAAATGGATGGCTGCCCTGCACATAGTACCCTGGCTGTTCGGGAATATTTAGACAATAGTTTTAACGGAAACGTTATTGGCCTAAATCATACAGTAAATTGGTCAGCAAGGTCTCCTGATATTTCGCCAAATGATTTCTTTCTCTGGGGCCATTTAAAAAACAGGATATACAAGGATAAAAAATACCCAAATCTAGACGAGTTAAAAAATGCTACTTCTGCCGAATGCAATAGAATTTCAGTTTACCAACTAGCGAATGTTAGAAGAGAATTTTATGATCGCCTGGGTTATTGTCTAGCAGCCGATGGAGGAATATTTGAACATCTTCTTAAATCCTAAAGTTCTAACAATTTAATAGTTTCTAGCAATTTAATATTGACGTTACTTCAGAAATTATTTGGAAAAAATCGAAATAAAAATGAAATTTCTACACCCTGTATCTCCGAAACTAAGCATTTTTGGGCCTACATTTATACGAACTTTTTTACCTATTTTTATCTGCAGAATATGCTGCCGAAGTTTCCGGAATACAATTTGGACCACCCTGTATATGCTGCAACTACACATACCTACTCTTTCTACGGTTCTCAATTATCTAATACTTTACCCAATTCTTAAAAAATCTAATAGAATTATTTTTTTAAGGCAATACATTATGATCTTGGTCCTAGAAAATAATACCTTTGCCTAAAAATTGGAACTCGCGAATAGAATAATTCGCAGTCGCAGTTTTCTATGAAAGCCAATCGCAAGTTGCGATTGCGATGCTTAAATCGCTGCGATTGAGTCGCAGTCTGCGATTTTTGACCTCATCTCTAATACGTTCTACAATCTACATTGTACCTTTATTAAACCAAATTGCCCTAGATGATATCCGTGGTCGCTAGTGTAAATAATGTACGTGTTGTCCAGTTCACCCAATTGTTTCAACTCGTTGACAACTTGTTCTACGGCAGTATCAACGGATTGCAACGTTTGCAATCTTTTTGTCATTAGCAGATCAGTGAATTGGCGATGTACCGGTTCCATTTTCTTTGTCACTTGAAGAATCCATTGTTTGTCGGGATTTGGAGCGTGATCATACGAAGGAGTGCTGAAATACAGTAAAAAATACATTTTTACAAACATCAGTACAGTGTGTCCCATTTTCACGTCTTTTACAGGGCTTCTCTTTTACGAGTAGAGTTGCAAAAATGCGGTTTTCACATTAATTTGCTACTTTTTTATGAAACTAAAGATACTACGTACAGATTTGTCTTAGTCCTCTTACTTCCTGAAATACAAGGCAAATTTTTGGCAAGACAATAACTGCCCGACGTTATAACATTTTATAATTCCCATGGTACCTAGATAATTTTATTTCTTACTGAATTTCGTATACCGTGCTGGCAACTGTTACTTTTGGGTCGGTATTTACATGTGTGGAAGTAAATCGCATAGGGATCTTACTAAGTGGGAGTGAGAGAAATGCGACGGTGTGCTGTTGCGGCGTTGCCACTTTTCTCCGGTACACCTTTCCCTATCAAGTAAAGTAAAATCACGATCGCAAACCGCTTATTTTTAAAAGGCTTTTTTTTGAAAAGATAACTAGATAAAATCATTAGATATGTTTCTGAACATTCAAAGTATAAGGATATCGTTAGGGTATTCATAAACGTAAAATCTCCAACCTCGACTACACGATAACGTCGTTATTTCCATGTTTTTCAAATCCGCGATGCCTGCTATTCCATCAGTCGTTTCATAACAGAATATTCTACATCCTACGTCTATGTAATTTAATATGTGTAGAGTGAGACATATAACTCGTGAGATTTTCAGCATTATATCAATAAAGGACAAAAACAGTATTGTTCCTAAAGGTGCGTCCAGACTTGAACATTTTAGCCCGAACGAATCGAGCGCGCACGAACATGCAGAACAAATAGGCCGAACAAAAAGCATTGTGTACGCGCGACCGAAAAAAAGGGAGATATTCTGTTTCTTTTTTCTACTGATATGGACTTCTACTGATGGCTCTTATCGACTGGCTCTAAATATAAGCAGGTAGAAAGTTTAGCTTCCAGTTATTTCAATGTTTACAATATAAATTCCTCTTTTTTATTATTACTGAGAATCTACAACAGTAAATACTTCTATTTTTATGAATGTTTAAGTTACTTTTACTCTTTTTTTTTAATAATGTACCTAGTAGAAATATAGTCTAATAGACCCTTTTTGAAAAACGTTAAATTAAATATAATATTTAAAATACAGTTGTTCTCCTGTACATGACTACAATACAACTAAAAAAACTAATTTAATAAAAAAAAACAAGTGGTTGTAGAAAAACTTTAAATATGATTTTTTTATTTTTTGACATCGAAACTCAAAGGTATAATAACAGGTATCATACCAACCATAAATAGAGTATGTCATATAAAAATGTTTTGAATTTTTAATAGAATGATAGTCCTAATGATAGCCCTCTAATCTAGTCCCTTGATAAAAAAGGGACTAGATTTAAGTTTCCCTTTGATCCAGTCTGTATACTATTTCTTTGGATTTTCTGCACGTGTGCAAAAACTACACAAAAACACTATATCTTATAGAAAATAAAATATTGTGCGTTGAATTTGAGGGATATCATCTGAAAAATGATTAATTTGGAAGAAAACCGGCAACAAGCCGCAGAAAATAATAATATTTTAGTGCAGTCTACTGGTCGCGACACTTGTGTCTAGCCCTAGCAGGCAACTGTTAAGCCCGACCAATCACGTTAGAGTTTTTGACAAACACGAATTAATTAACACACTCCAAATAACCACGCTAACCAACCTGATTGGTCAAGCTTAATACTTGACTGCTAGAACTAGACACTTCTGTCGCGACGACCAACGGATGGCCAGGACGTTAGTGTGTGCTGTATCATTTGATTTAATGGTTTTAGAGGTAATAGCGGCTTGGCCGGTGCGACCTGGTCGTCAGTGTGTTCGAGCCCTTAAAGACGTTTGTAGCAAAATATTTTAGAAAAAAAAACCAAGGAAAATAAAAAAATAAAGTGGGTCGTTATTTTTAAGCCAAGTTCTTGATGAAAATACGACAATATGCTGCTTTTCGTAAACTTACTGGTGCGTGGAAATGTTGAAAAACAAACTGGAATATTGCGGAGCAGAGTCCTCGGGACCGTGAGGTGCTGGAAAGGCCATGGTTAGCATAAGTGGCTTATTAGGGAATTGCTTTTTCGAATTTCTCAAAAACGTGATGGAATCGTTAGCAATTAAATCCGTGTAGTAGTCCTGAAAATAAAACGTCAAATAGGCAAGAATTGACAAGAAAAATAAGTCTGCGGATATTAACTATTTCCAAAACACAAGCTTTTTAAAGTGGTGTAATATATTCTGTACTTAAAAATGGTTACCTTGTCATATTCGAAGCCGTGCTTGATCTTTTTCCCATTCATATTTATCGAATAATTGTAATATTTTGAATTCATAATCAGTCCACCCCATTCTCGCCAACCTGGTGGTATATAGGTTCCGTTGTATTTGTTTAAATATTTCCCAAAATATCCTAAAATTTAATTAAATTTACTGTATCTGGACCATTATTATAATCTAAGACGCATCAGACTCATTAAGGTGTCTCTAAAAAAATGGCATATACCGGGTAAATTACAATATAGGTAGCTTTTATTGAAATTCTCTTCATTTTAAAATTTAGTCATAACATGTTTCTATAATGAAACTCACCTTTATTTTGTTTTTTTGGAATCCTAAAATTACTTAATAAATACATAGGGTGTTCCAAAAATGACGCTAATCAAAATTAATAATAACCATCTAGAGAATGAAAACGAAGTGATATTACCATATACATATACCGTAGAAACGCGTCTTGATTGTTAACCATTGTATTGGATTAACCATTTTAGGACAAACAAAAATTTTTATAATGCATTTCCTCTTGTAAATATAATCTGGAGACATACTGTATAGTTTTAAACGGGAAAGTACTTGGTTAGCGTCAATAAGAGAACAGGTATTTTTTATATACATATATATGTTAATTGAGATGATATCAAATACGATAATTTTGATATTAGCACGTTATTATGGCAATAGAATAATTTTAAAAAAATTCCACCAATATGGATTTCCACCAAGTACTTATTCATATAATTTTTCTACGGCTTAGAACTACATAGTGATGCAACGTGTAAAATAGTGTAAAAATATTGATATTTTAATACAGATATTGTAAAAGTGAATCATATTATTTATTAATTTTTAATTTGTTATGGTGCGTCCAGACCTGAGGAGTCGAGTGCGACGCGAGCGCCAAGTCTGGACGTGTTTTTGGTAGGCTCGCTCGACTGCGAGATATTAGGTCTGTTCGTTTTCCTGTTATTATCGATTCTGAATCGTCCTAGAACTCTCCAGCGCGTGCGCAAATGAAATAATGTCTTCATATTTCCTTCTGCGCATACGCATCACAATTCTAGGACGGTTCAGAATCCGTAATAACAGGAAAACGAAAAAAGTTATTAGCTCTGATATTATAGTGCATATTGAAATGGAGACTTGGACGGAAAAAGATCAGCTGAAATTCATCGATTTATATAAAGCCAAACCAATATAAAGAATCCAAAAGATAAAGAATATTAAAAAAAAAACAATAAACACGATGCGTGGGTAGATATTTCACAATCGATGAATAAAACCTTGGAAAGAATATAAAAGAGAATTATTAAAAAGTGTTTAAGAATTATTAAAAAAAATAGAAAAACTGTAGAGACAGTTAAGATACACATTTTAAAATTATTATAGAGTATACAGGGTGGTTCAAAATAGTGTTACGGATATAACATGGTTTTTTAAATGTAATACCCTACTTTTTATTCTATTTTTAGATTCTGCATAAAATTTTATAACTTTTTTTTATGTATACTGCCAGGTATAATATTATATATGTACCTAAAACGGTATACCCTTAAAACTAATAGTTTTTGTAATATTTCAATTTGATTAAACAAAAAATGTTAGATTTCAGTGTCGTAAAAAATTTTCAGTCATGCTATTGTTTCTGAAATTGGAGTTCTAAAATTTGTTAAGGATAGTTTTATAGAGACGAAGAAAAAGATATAGGTAAAGACATTTGAGTTAGATGCTACAGTGTGTTCAACATATATTTATGAATTTCGACTATTTAAAATTAAATAATTTCAATTATTTTTTTTAAATGGATATTACTATATTATTATATATTTTTTCGTATGTATTATCATTTTTTTTAATAGAATTTACAAATTATGCATCACTGATACTTTTTACCGTACCGAAATCTAACATTTCATTAAACAAATTGAATTATTACAAAATCTATTATTTTAGATATATAGGTAATATGATATGCAAAAAAATTTACCGAATTGTACGTAGAATCTAATAATAAAATAAAAAATAGGGTATTCCCATTAAAACATACCTATATCCGTAACACTTTTTGAAGTACCCTGTATACTCTACAGTAATTTTCAAATGTGCTTCCTTTCCTATAAATTTTCTTTTTAACATTTTGTTCTAAAAAACGAATTTTGTAAAAGACGTGGTGTCTCGAAACAACTAATAGGGGAAAAAATCGACGGTGAATAATTGGTGCGTCCAGACCTGAGGAGTCGAGTGCGAGACGAGCGCGAGAAACAAGAATCCGTGTATTTGCTTTAGCGTGATCGTAACGGAAATTACGGAGATAGCAGCATTTCGGTGGCTATTTCAGATCACTGGGAGTTAGCAGATATTATTGAGTTAAAATAGCAAATTTTCTTTAATGGGAAAAAATGTATTTGCTTTCCCTACTTATAGAGTATTTTTTCTCTTTCTAATGGTATAAAAAAAATTATTAACGTAAAAAATGGACTTTAAAAAAGCAGGTTATCACGTTTCACTGACGATTAGCTAGTTAAAGTCGTGTATTTGTTTAGAGCGCTGTTTACGGTATTCTCTGAAGCGTAAGCGTACTGGGAACGGTTCTCTGCTATGTTGGAACAAACCTACAGTTACCTGTTCTGTAGCCGGCATTCGACAGGTACGTCGCGAAACTCCTTTTCTCGTGAGTCGCTTGCCACTGCGTGCTGGAACAATTATCGTTGTTGGTGTACACCTGATGATTGTGCACGTACATCCCCGTCAAAATCGAACTTCTAGAAGGGCAGCACATGGGCGTAGTGACGTAGGCGTGCCTAAACTCCGCCCCGTGGTCCCTGATACTCCTCAAAGTCTTGGGCATGAAGTTGAGCGACCCCAGTTCCACGTCCTGGTCATCTGTCAGAAACAAAACGATGTTGGGCTTCTTTCCATTGCGCATGACCAAAGGTAGATGGTGGTGATCTTGCGATCTACTCGGTTTTTGGTGTTTGTGGATGTTGTTATCACAGCTGGTGTAGGTTGCCAAGAGGAGGAGGCAGAATGCTTTGGTAGTTATGGTTTTGAGAGTGACCGATGGCATTTTACCCTGCTCGGTTCACTTCTATTTCGGAATTGGGTGGAGTGGTCGCATTCTTAGATTTCTGGGTTGTTTGGTTCACATTTCATATCTGAAACAAGGAATGATTATTAATTTCGTATATATTTTTGGCCAGTTTAGAAACAAATCAAGAGATTATGTTCTTGAAAGTGTAAAAATTATCCAAAATATTTTTTGTACAAATAATTCTTATTGGAAATATTTTCGACATTTGTGATGATGTCTACGCTAACTTTAATCGATTTCTCTATAGGCACAGATTAAGTATACTATATGTATACAGATAAAAATCTTATCCCTAATTCGTGGTACGAAAATTGTTTTTTATGACGATGTGCAAACGAGTAAAATTTCCTGCGCGCAAAAATAAACTCGCGTAAATAACAATAAACAGCGTAATAGAGAGATATCGCTAAACCGAATAGCGTGCATGGACGTTAATAAGGCCAGGTGTTATTTCCTTTACGTGAGGTGGTATTAACTCTCTTCATTTATAGTTATCGGATCGGAAAGAATTCTGTTCGCGTCGCGTCCGCTATTTAAACTTAACCTAACTTTGAATTTAAAACTTCGAAATTGTTTTGTTTACTAGGTATTTTAAAACTAAAGGGCTAAAGTGCTTATTTCCAGTGCTTTATTGTTCAAAGTCTGCCAGTGGGTTTAGGGCAACAAGCAACAAATTCTCTTAGAAGGGCTAAGTCGTCATCTGCTGTAAACCTCTAAAGCCTCTTTATAGGTTCTTTAATATTGGAAGAGGCGGAATCCATATTTTGGGCCATATTTATTTAATTAAAACTAATCCCAGCTACTTAAATATTAAATTACCTAATAAAACTAAAGTAATAATTCAAAACAATTCAAACATAACCTAAAATAAAAGATCTCGCCGGCCGGCCCCGGTTGTCAAATACTAGCACATGCCCATTTAAGCAATTTTTAAACGTTATTTAGAAATAGCGCCTTGTTAGGATTCCCCACAAATTGGCAACGCTGGAGGTTAGCGTGTTCTTTCTGAATATGCTAAGACTAACGGACTAGTGTCGAAACACAGATAGCTAGATGGACGTATTTCGGCACTTGCGTCGATGCGCTACTGGAACATTTGCCTGCGCGTCGTATGTCTTCTGGCAGTCTTTTAATTTTTCTGTTTGTCTATGGATATAGCAGATTTGTCGCAGTTGACCGGTCGACCCAATCAATACCTCTGTCAGTACTTAAAGTTCTAGGGAAAGGTGTACGTCATGCGTTCAGCTTCACGATTTAATTACGTCTCGTGATACTTAATTTGTTCATTTATTAACGAATCGTTGTAATTTTCCCTATAGCTTGAATTTTTTTAAGTGCAAGCTAGAAACACTTGCATTTTTGATAAAAATAAGTGGAATTGAGTGGGTGTTCGATAGTGGTCGCGCTATTAGAATTCTGAATTCAAAAATCGATATCTCGAAATCTATTAGAAATAATAGATTGTAGTTTTTCAAGAACTTTGTTAATATTTCTGCTGTATTTTCTTTGTAGACAGTATGTGAAAATCTTTATCAATAAAAAAATTACACGATTGCTGAAAATTGCTATGCTCTAAAAGTAAACGGATGGATTGTTTACAATTTTTGAATAGAAAAACAACCTTATCGAATTTTTCTTATGTCAACATATTGTAAAATATCCGATCTTGGAAATAAAAAAAAAGTTTCAATATCTAAAGTGGTTCTTAAGTTATGGCCTGTTATGTGTTAAAAAGTTGATTTTTAAATTATCGCGATTACTGACGTTTTCTCGTTATAAAAAAAAATGACACCCTAACGATATCCTTATAATTCCATTTCAGATGCTCAGAAACATGTCTAATGATTTTATCTAGTTATCTCTTGAAAAAAAGTTTTTTAAAAATAAGCGGTTTGCGATCGTGATTTTACTTTACTTGATAGGGAAAGGCGTATCGGCAACGCCGCAACAGCACACCGTCGCGTCGGTCGGTCGCATTTCTCTCACTCCGACTTAATAAGATCCCTATGCGATTTACTTCCACACATGTAAATGCCGACCCAAAAGTAACCGTTGCCAGCACGGTATATATTTCCTTCGGGCACACCCCCGCTTACCCGACCCCTGAGAGCGACCAGAACAGTACAGCGTAATAGATTCCCTATACTATATAAATAGATAAATACACGTTGCATTTGGACAAAATACATATTTCACATACAAACAAAATTTTCTTTGAAGTTTGCGAAGCGCAGCCAGCAGAGTCTAGTAGAGGCTGTCGTAAAGTTCCGCCATTGTGTATTAAAGACAAATAAAGCTATCGCGTCAGAGTATTTGCAGGAAAATTATTGCCGAGGCCTGTTGCAAACCGCTTCGGAGGTTTTACGTTACGCACACCTGTGCAGCAGGTGCTTTAAAAATATTCGTAATATCCCCAGAGTTTGCCTAATTTGAAAAGGATTGCTGGAATATTTGAGAAAATAAACCATCTTTGAAACTTTCTATTGCATATTGATTGTTTCCTCTGTTATACCTCGAGATCTTGTTTGAGGCAGGTGGTGTAAAAATAAGAGATTTTTTGAAACTTTTAGCTTTTTCTTAGTTACCAACTAAAGATATGAAATAGAAAGAACTTACATTAGGAACGTAGCTAAGTGTAATGGGCATTCTCCTTCATTAGCTGATAAAATAATTAGAAAACGTAGGTATAAGTTTGCGGTTTTTGCAAATGCGATTTTTCAAGTGGAGAAAGATACGTCAAAATAGGTTTCAATTAGTAGTGGGAACTATCGAATGAATACTATCGAAACATTCGATAGTTGCAATTCATTCGAATAATTCGATAGTTAGTAAGAAAACATTCGTTGAAAACTATTCGAATAAAAATTATTGAATAGATTCCGTCATCTGCCTTGAAACATTGTATTCTAGTAATTCGGCAGCAAAAACCATTCATTTATAAAATTCATTCATTTATGAAATTCATTTATTCGTCAGGATCGATTATAATAAAATATTAACTGAATTTTAGTTGTCGCCCGGCGACGTAGGTTTCTTTCGAGGAACCCGACAGCGGTCGGTGGCAATGCTATGAAAGAAGCCGGCATCTTTGATTTTTGCGGAGTCAGATAAAAATAAGGACACATTATTTTTTATTGAGGTGCTAGTATTTACACAGAAAATACATAATGAAGGGCGTTGTTGCCATATTTTGGTATTAGTTGATATTAGCAAAGAATATTATTGTTTGGCTTTAGTTAGTTAGGGATAGTATGTCTATATATTCTGCATTTTTTTTATTAATATTCTGTTGTTACACTGCAATAATACTGGTTATTTTGGATGTAGGAAAATGATTTTTAATGTTTTTAAGCAAAGACTGGTTTAATAAATAGTAATAACAGTAATAATTTGTTATACCTATTAACAACAAAATTTAAAATCATTTAATATTGTTACGTTTTTCGTCGGTTCCGTGTGGATAGAAAGTCCCAGTCTCTTTGGTGGTCAGAGACTACTTTGGCCAAATAACGGTTGATGGTTCTGTTCATGCGTTCAACCATCCCATCGGATTGTGGATGTAGAGCCGTCGTCCTGGTCTTGCGGATGTTAAGGACTTCGCAGACGCCTTGGAACAGATTGGACTCAAAGTTTCTTCCCTGATCTGAATGAAGCTCCATGGGAACACCAAACCTGCAGATCCATTCTTTAACAAGGGCATCAGCAATCGTGGACGCTTCTTGATTTGGCAACGCGTAGGCCTCGACCCATTTGCTGAAGTAATCCATTACTACCACAATGTATTTGTTGCCATCGTTCGTCTCCGGGAAAGGACCAGCCACGTCGATCGCTATTCGTTCGAAGGGACTACCAACATTGTACTGGCGCATAGGGGCTTTACCACGCTTTTGTGGCCCATTAATGGCTGCGCAAATGTCACATTTCTTACACCAGGCCCTCACATCTTCTTTGCAGTTCACCCAGTAGAACCGTTCACGCAGCTTGCCAAGTGTCTTGGTAACACCAAGATGTCCACCGCTGGTTCCATTGTGAACTTCCGCCAAGACTTCCGGGACCCTCTTCTTTGGAATGACGATCTGCCTTCTCTCTTCTTGTCCCTCTGGTCTCACAATCACACGGCGAAGTAATCCGTTATCTATTACCAATGAATTCCACTGGGACCAGTACGACTTCACGTTCGGCGAATATGCAAGATCTTCGGTTTGCCAACTATCACCAACCACAGTCGTCCTTAAGACTTTCACTTCTTTCTCTTCTTTGCAACGATTTCCCATCTGTCCGCAATTCCAACAGCGAATCGGTCCCCCCTTCTTACTCATATACTGATCCAGTACTTTCCGCACAATCCTTTCCACTTTGGAATCGTCGGAACTCTCCTCAACAGCCCGTACAAATCCTAGAGACCTAGAGCATTCTTTCGCGGCCTCAAATTCCAGGGCACGTGCTAGGGCATCTCCCAAATGCGTTGGATGAGCTAAAATAAGTGTTTGCCTTGTCTCGTTGTCACATAAACCATCAATAAAAGCCTGTACTTTTAAGCGCTCCATAACATTTTCGGGCATAGCAGGGTACGCAAGGCGAACGAGGCGGGCTACGTCGGCTTCAAACTCCTGCAGAGACTCATTTGACTTTTGAATGCGATTTTTTAGCTGGGAATGATAGACATGTTCCCAAATGAGCTTGGCCGTACCTCATTTCTAAATGTCGTACCAATTGCTGATAATCTCCCTGTTCCGATGGTGACAATGTCTGCAGGATATCAGTCGCATCTCCTCGCAGTGCGACAGTCAAAGCGGTAGCCTTTTCAGCGATTGTCCATCCGTTCGCTCTCGCAGCGGCCTCAAACTGGCAAAAATAATTGGCCCAAGCGGTTTTTCCGTCAAACTGTGGAGGCTTAATAACTGACTTTGAGATATACTTATTTTCGACTAGTTTCGGTGCCTCCGATGTTTCTTGACATTTTGGTGAATTGGCCTTTTCTATTTCTTGTTTTAAAATTTCGATTTTTTTATTTACATCGTCCTCAATTTGTGTTATTTTGTCTTGTGTATCTATTATCTTTTC